CATCACCGCTGTATGGGCTTTGTACACTGTGGATTTTCATATGTTCTTCAAGGGCGTCAGACTGTGTGAATTCCTTCCCACACTGGTCACAGGTGAAGCCCATTCTGCCGGTCGACCCCTACATGGAAACACAGAAAAGCAGAGAGATTAAATCAGTGCAAATGTCAATAAAAATTACTTTCTTCCAGTGCTTGTGCTGCTTCCAGACATGTATTTTCATATTAAAGCATTTGACCAATCACATTTCAGCCATCATTTGTTGCCAGGCAGAGTCAAAGTCAAAGAAGTCTGCCTGAGGCCTTCACAATCAGGAACTCAAACACAAAATGAATGTCTGTGAAACTGTTGCTTCAACCAATCAGACTTGATTACACCAGGACTACACCAGGACTAATTTTGGACTAGAGAGAGAGAGAACCCTGAGCCCGTGGAGAAGAGTGTCCGCAAAATACGATCGGGCGACGGCTGCGCAGAGCCTTGTGTGACGTCAGTCCTTTCGCCTGCGGTCACCCGACAGTCTACTCAAGCGCACTTCTGGGCCCATCCTGGTCCCTCATGTTGCAGGTCTCTATAGGGCAGTACTGGAGATATCAGTGTTTCCCACAGCACTTCATAGCTATGGCCCCCTGTTATGGCTCGTGGCCTGTCTCCGGCTCTGCATCGCCATCAGGCCTGGGGCCGTAACACCCCCCGCCTTGACTACGTCCCTCTGAATCACGTGAATCCTCGCAAAACTAGTCGTCGCACGTGATCTCCGCGCACCCCAGCGCTCCTCACTTCTTTTCCACGCACAGCTCTTTATACTCTACTTCTGTATAATCAGATGCTTTTATAACCGTAAAATTGTTCTTAAGGAGTGGACTGTTTCAGATGGAGCACTACTGAAGGCCTAGGTGTGAAATTCACACTCTGCCACTGCTTTCTTCAAAAGTAAATATTGTAACACCAATATAATATATATATAATAATAATAACAATAATAATATAATGCTCAGTGGGGGTTTGTCCAATTTGCTCACTGTAATAACTCCTTATAATTAGTGCAAGTTTTTAAATAGGGACAAACATTTAATGCTCAAAAAGGTCAGTGTTGATATTACGTGTCAATAGTTCCTATTTGAATTTATTTTATGATCTTGAATTCTGGGTGAGTGCTGCCTTTGTTATGTGAAGCACATCAGCTCAACATACAAGTCTAATTACTGAAACAGGACACTTTAAAACAAGATCAAGTCAAGTTTTGGTGAGAAATTACTATTTTATGTTTTCTGCATTTTGTCGTCTTGTTTTCGCCTGAGTCTGTGTCGTCCAATCACCTGTTGAGTGTTTTTAAGCACGTCTGAAGCTGTACTGTATCGGTGTCTCTGGGAGCCAGTCTCCTCCAGGGTCTGATCACTCCAACGTGAGGCGACGGAAACAAGGCTTTATACTCGATATATTATTTAGCTTTAAATGGTTTGTTGTGTTTGGGTGATGTTTGAGGACAGGACACAGTCCAAACACGGCTTTAGAGTTTGGCCTGAGACGTGGGGGAGGAGGTGTGATCAGAGATTCTTTACATAACAAACACAGAGGCTCCACTCTCCTCCATTCATCCTCCATGAACATTCAAACAAACAGGGCTGAAAATATCTGACATACATGACTTTTTGAAAGAAATAAAAAGTTTATCTCTTTCTCTTGGAGGAAAACACAAAATGTGTCAATAGTTGTAGCTCAGGGGGAGTTAAACTTAAACCTACTGCCTACGTACTATATGTCCCACCTGACTGTCAGAGTCACTGTTCTATACAGACTACACTTATTTACCACTGTGAACAAGAGAAAAGGTTTGAGAGCCCTGCTGTCTACTGATCTAACCCTGAGTCATTTCACATGGATGTATCTACACTGGTGTGAGGAGTTTAGAGTCTAGCACACGTTAGCTCAACTGTTTGGTATCAATAGATGTTTGATTTTTCACAGATGCAGAGTCACACTCACAGACAGTGAAGCAGGAGAGCAGGTTAAAAGCAGCAGGAGCAGCACTTCAGCCCTGGGCTCGTGTTTCAAGGTTCATTCTTTTCTCAAAACGAGGTGTCCAGGCACTTTCTTCTTTGTCTCTGCTGTTTTTCCGCTGTCGTAGGCAGTAAAGCTCCTCCCCCGACTTCTGTGAGAAACAACCCACAGCACCAATCAGGATCCAGAGGAGGCGGGCTCTTTGGAAATGTCTCACCGTTTTGTTTTTTTTCTTTTTTTTTAAATATATAATTTAAGGTTAATTAATTTAAAATGTTCATTTTTCTTCAGAACTCATGACAGTCTATAATAAAGCCTAATGAAATCCATGTATTTAAATGAACATATCACATTATATATATATATATATATATATATATATATATATATATATATATATATATATAGGGTCCGCCGCTACGGCTGCAGCGTGTGTGGTGTCTCGGACGCGTGTCTTCCATAAAAAGAGTTTATTGGCGTACCTTCTAGCCATCCAAAAATACAGATTCAGCTCTCAACAGATCACGGTCAAAAGACTGTATACCTTCACACTGCAACACCTGAGTGTGTCTTTCTCCCTCTTATATATAGGGGAACAAATTGCGTAGCAAGTTACAAATAGCACCACACAAAATACAAATACATTTGGAGCCATAAATTAACTTATCTTATATTTACATAGGGACACAGTTACACATTTATCCAAAATATCCAATACCATTATTCAATTTCCAAAAATCATTGTTTGCACTTAATTCCATCCAGTTCAGTTAATATAATAAAACATTTTCCACTTTTTTCTTATGAAGGCTTTGCAGATTTTTAGTTGAAACAACTTATGGACTTGACAAACAAGCAGATACAAAACACAAATCATAAGGGCAACAAAGAGTACATTCAAAGAGAGAAATGTTCATTGAGGGACCATAAACGTGCAGAGGATCACCAGGGGGCAGTGCAACAGCAGTACTCCAGCTATCCAATGCAAATGAGCAGGCACTCAAGGCTTAACTGTCCTGTGAGGGGCCACTGCAGCCCAGCTCCAGCAGCAGAGGACTATCCACAACTGTTTGCTCAATGTCCATACAGTTCATACCAGCAACAGTCTTCTCCTGCTCCTCATCCTCTGTGCCACCAGCGCTCTCAATCAATCAGAGGCTGGACAGCTTGTGTTACACTTGCACTCTGCAAACTACTGTCCATGTTGGTCATGATAGGTGGCTCAGATTGTTCCATGGCAGGGGTATCAAGGTCCTTCTGTGGTTCAGGTGAAAGAACAGGTTCAGTTTGGGACAAATCCATGTCAGTGGTGGTTCTGGCCCCTGTTGACGCAAAAGCATCCACCACTGTGGCACGTATCTCTGGCGCCTCCCAGTTCACTGCATCAAAACCATCATCGTCACTGGCCCCTGTTTGATCTTCAAGCAAAACAGGGAGACTTGTGCTCTGCTTTAATAAACATGGTTTTAAAGGATACAGAGTTGACTGAGGCACCTTGGGCTCCAGCAGCAGTGGTCTGGGTTTTACAGTTTTACGTTTATTTGAGGCATTCAACACTGCCAACTTTGCTGTCACCTCAGCCAATTTAGTCTCAAGCTCCAGTTCACCCAACCTTCTCCTGATTCCTCTTTGCTTTGCTTCAAGTGCATGAATCTCCTCCATATATGAAGCTTTAGCCAGTAGCCGCAGCCTTTTCAGCCTTTATTTTTTACCAATGCTGCAGCTACAGAAGCCTTCATTCCTTTTTCACTACTGTGACTGTCTTTATGTGTCCTTACAATTTATTTTTTCCTTTGTCTCAATTTTTTGTTGAAACCCTTGGTGCACATTTTTTACACAGTGTTTGTATTTACAGTGTACACAAATCCATCCGCACCCCGTGCCCAAAAGTTAGAGTCCACTCCAGGAAACCGTGCTGTGCCAATCACAGACGACGCAACATCTTAACGCCCGGACGGTACCTGAGGTAGTCTTTTGACAATGTAGCGGCCAAAACTTGCCCTGTGCAAGTACCGCTATGGCTGCAGCGTGTGTGGTGTCTCGGACGCGTGTCTTCCATAAAAAGAGTGCAAATGCCTTATTCCTCAATTAGTTTATTGGCGTACCTTCTAGCCATCCAAAAATACACAGATTCAGCACTCAACAGATCACGGTCAAAAGACTGTATACCTTCACACTGCAACACCTGAGTGTGTCTTTCTCCCCCCTTATATAGGGGAACAAATTGTGTAGCAAGTTACAAATAGCACCACACAGAGAGACGGGAGGTAGAGAGGCGTAATATGGCTCCAACAAAACACAATGATCTATTCTAAACACAAATTGTATTGTAACTATAACTTGAGTCTTTCCACCTAAAAACTGCACACTTGAAAACACAGAACAAAACAGAACCTACAGGCATCACAAATATATAGATATTGTTTAATATATATATATAGTATTTTGTTTCTTGCAAAGGTAAATGTGTGCACCTGAAGGTACATTAGTGACATTAGGGCGTGTAGGGAGGGTGCTGTCTGGGACCGCTGTGTTCGCAGTGACTCAGTTGTTCAGTTGTGTCTAGAAGTGGCACATTGCACTCACTTTTTCGGTTCATTCCTCCGTTCCGTTCTGTTCCTCGTCAGCGTGGAGTGATGAGTGTGGCTGTGGGTGTTTTTCGCTGTGCGGTCGCTGTCTGCTCCAGTAATAGTTTACTGAAGTCGTGCTGGGACAGAGTGGATTCGTGTATAGGGTGCTCTGGATTGAGGGGCACCCAATCATTTTTTGATGGGGTTGGAGGCTTAAGAGCGCGCCCTATGGTGCAGAAAATATGGTAACTTATGCTTCTTGTCACATTTCTAAACACCCATGGTTACCTTAGAGTAAAAAGAAAAACTGGTGAAAATAGGACGCAAAAGTTCACATTTCAAATGGTAAGAAGCTTTGACCAGTTGTGTTTTTCAAGTGGGATTTTGAAACGTCTATGGAGTCCAAAGTTTGGATTTGAAGCGGAGTGGAGAGCAGAGCAGAAGATGATGAACACAATGAGAATGAGAACAGAAATTTGAGCTGAATCTGGTTGGAGATTTATGAAGGGCCCAAGTTATGGATCTTCATTTTGCTCTGATGTCTCTCCACTGTGGACCTTCATATGTCTGACCAGACTATTAGAGCGTTTAAAATCCTTATCGCACTGGTCACAACTGTATGATCTTTCTCTAGTGTGGAATCTCTTGTGTTGTGTTAAGTAGCTTGATCGCTGAAACGTCTTCTCGCAGACGTCACAGCTGTACGTTTTTTTTCTCTGGTGTGGATGCTGGTGTGGCTTTTCAGATGCGATTGTTGATTAAAACTCTTCCCACACTGGTCGCATTCATACGGTCTCTCTCCAGTGTGGACCTTCATATGTCTGATCAGTTTATAAGAGGATTTAAAATCCTTATCGCACTGGTCACAACTGTACGATCTTTCTCTAGTGTGGACTCTCTTGTGTTGTGTTAAGTTGCTTGATCGTTGAAACGTCTTCTCGCACACGTCACAGCTGTATGGTCTCTCTCCAGGGTGGACTCTCAGATGCCTTGCAAGGTTACTCGAATGAGTAAATGTTTTCTCGCAAAGATTACAGCTGTACGGTCTTTCGCCCGGGTGGAATCTCATGTGTTTTACTAAGGAGCTTGATCCAGAAAACGCCTCCCCACAGACGTTGCAGATGTACGATCTTTCTCTAGTGTGGACTCTCTTGTGTTGTGTTAAGTATCTTGATCGTTGAAACGTCTTCTCACACACGTCACAGCTGTATGGTCTCTCTCCAGGGTGGACTCTCAGATGCCTTGCGAGGTTACTCGGATGAGTAAACGTTTTCTCGCAAAGATTACAGCTGTACGGTCTTTCACCCGGGTGGAATCTCATGTGTTTTACTAAGGAGCTTGATCGAGAAAACGCCTCCCCACAGACGTTGCAGATGTACAGTTTTTCTATAGTGTGGACTCTCCGATGAACTATGAGTGCGCCTGACGTAGTAAACGCCTTCTCGCAGACTTCGCATTTGAATGGTCTTTCTCCGGTGTGGATTCTTCTATGTAATAGGCGTTTGCCTGACGTAGTAAACGTCTTCTCGCAGATGTCACATTTGTACGGTCTTTCTCCAGTGTGGAGTCTCATATGTGTTACTACGCCACCTGTTGTAGTAAACTTCTTCTCGCAGACGTCACATTTGTACGGTCGCTCTCCGGTGTGGACATTCATATGTTGAGCGAAATTACTCTGCATATAATACGCCTTGTCACAGACCTCGCAGACGTACAGTTTTTCCCTGGTGTGGAATCTCTTATGTGATGCGAGGTGTTTCCATTCGGGGGAGCTCGATCTAGGAAATGCCATCTCACACACATCACCACTGAATGGGCTTTGTACACTGTGGATTTTCATATGTTCTTTAAGGGCGTCAGACTGTGTGAACTCCTTCCCACACTGGTCACAGGTGAAGCCCATTCTGCTGGTCGAGCTCTGCATGGAAACACAGAAAAGAAGAGAGATTAAATCAGTGCAAATGTCAATAAAAATTACTTTCTTCCAGTGGTGGGCCTGCTTCCTTTCAGAACTTTTACGATGTTTGTGCTGCTTCCAGACCTGTATTTTCATATTAAAGCATTTGACCAATCACATTTCAGCAATCATTTGTTGCCAGGCAGAGTCAAAATCAAAGAAGTCTGTCTGAGGCCTTCACAATCAGGAACTCAAACACAAAATTAATGTCTGAAACTGTTGCTTCAACCAATCAGATTATGAGTCGGTGTCACCAGGGCCTTTAGCAGCGAACGACAATGTCACCGGATTCAGACCTGCTGATTGGAATCAGAGAGCAAAACAGCCAAAGCAACAAACTGCATCTGTAGCAGAACCAGGACTAAACCAGGACTGATTTTGGACTAGAGAGAGAGAGAGAACCCTGAGAGCCCAGGGTGTCCGCAAAATAAGATTGGGCGATGGCTGCCCCATGCGGTGCAAGTCTTTTCACCTGCAGTCACCAGACAGTCTACTCAGGTGCATCTCTGGGCCCGTCCCAACACTCAGTCCTGGTCCCTCATGTCGCAGGTCTCTACAGGACAGTACTGGAGATATCAGTGTTTCCCACAGCACTTTATAGCTATGGCCCCCACCTTGACTCCGAATCACGTGAATCCTCGCAAAACTACATCGTCGCACGTGATCTCCGCGCACCTCGGCGCTCTTCACTTCTTTTCCATGCACAGCGCTTTATACTGTACTTCTGTATAATCAGATGCTTTTATAACCGTGAAATAGTTCTTGAGTGGATTGTTTCAGATGGAGCACTTTATTTTTTACTTTGACTTTTAACAGTACATTTATTATATCACTTATGACTTATCCTACAAAAGACCAAAGACAACAAAAAAAAATACTCAATGTCCTAACCCCCCCACAGATGTAAAAATCAACTGCCCCTCCCTTACCGAACACAAACACCTCTTCACCGCCCACACACTGCCTCAAAGTCCTCCAGTGCACTCTACACAAACTCCACCTTGAGTCGTGCCCCCACCAGTCTTTTCAACAGGAGTTTAGAGTCTGTACATCCTGAGCCGGACATGTGGTTCCTCCTGCTGAGCTACACGCTCATCTTTGCCTGACCCAGGACAAAGTTCACCAGTGGTGCAGTCCTGCGCTGGGCCACAGAAAACTTGGGTCGACGGAGCACTACTGAAGGCCTAGGTCACGCTCTGCAACTGCTTTCTTCAAAAGTAAATATGGACACCAAGATTTGGTCTTGATATTACCATGTTTGTAATATCTGTAGTACAGTGGTTGTTAAGATCAGTAATACATTTATGTAGTTTTGATTCACGTTTTTGTAACAAATTCAGTCTAAGGATTACAGTGCTCAAAGGGGGTTTAATTTGCTCAACTTTACAAGTCAAACATTTGCTCAAAAAGGTCAGTGTTTGATAACATGTCAAGATTCAAGTCTTGAAGTGAGTGATGTTTTTACTCTGAAGTCAAAACTGTTGAGTGTTTTTAATCTGAAGCTTAATCAGTCTCTTCTGATCACTCGTGAGTTTATATGATTGTTGTTTTGGGTGATGTTTGAGGACAGGACACAGTCCAAACACGGCTTTAGAGTTTGGCCTGAGACGTGGGGGAGGAGGTGTGATCAGAGATTCTTTACATAACAAACACAGAGGGTCCACTCTCCTCCATTCATCCTCCATTCATCCTCCATTCATCCTCCATGAACATTCAAACGAGCAGGACTGAAAATATCTGAACCCATGACACCTGTTAGCTCGACTGTTTGGTATCAATAGATGTTTGAGTTTTCACAGATGCAGAGTCACACTCACAGACAGTGAAGCAGGAGAGCAGGTTAAAAGCAGCAGGAGCAGCACTTCAGCCCTGGACTCGTGTTTCAAGGTTCATTCTTCATTTTTTTCCAGGCAGGTTCTTCTTTGTCTCTGATGTTTTTTTGCTTTCATAGGCAGTAAAGCTCCTCCCCCGACTTCTGTGAGAAACAACCCACAGCACCAATCAGGATCCAGAGGAGGCGGGCTCTTTGGAAATTCATCACCTTTTTTTTTTTTTTAAATATACATTATAAGGTTAATTCATTTAAAATATATTTTTTTCTTCAGACCTCATGACAGTCTATAATAAACACTAATGAAATCCATTTATTTAAATGAACATATCACATTTTGATACATATATAAAACTTTTTCAGTCTTTAACACAAAGATCTATTCTAAACACAAACTGTAACTATAACTTGAGTCTTTCCACCTAAAAACTGCACACTTGAAAACACAGGACGAAACAGAACCTACAGGCATCACAATATAAAGATATTGTTTAATATATATATAGTATTTTGTACCTTGCAAAGGGAAATGTGCACCTGAAGGTACATTAGTGACATTAGCTGTGGTTGTGTTTGCAATGAAAATTCACACAGAACTGTGTTTGTGCAGGTTTTTAGATCCAATTCAACCAATTTTGGTGACGTGAAAAATTTTGTAAACACTGGGTGTATTTCAGAAATGTATTCACTGACTTCCATTTAAATTCAATGATTCAGTTATTTGACCTTCCCTCTCGAAATCAATGTGAAAATAATTTGACTTCAAATTTTCATTTCTCTGCAGTAAAACAAATGAATTTGAGCAAAAATGTTTTCACAAAAATGCCAACTTCTAGCCCGTCTACACTGTGAAATAAAACAGCACCTACCTTTGCCTTTACCAAAGAGTGTAAATGTGCACTTCTGTGGGACTAATATTTGACCAGTTAGTCTGATGCCTGCACTTGCGGGTAAATATGACAAAATATTTGATCAGAAGTCCCTTTCGTTTAGATGGCGACGGCTCTGGTCGCTTGAATAAACTTACAGGAGGCTCCCAACAAATGTGGAGAATCTGCAGAGATACTGTCAGTGAACAGAGAAGGATCTGCAATCACCTCTGTCAAATTCTGGATGCACCAGGTCGTCGCAGGCGAGTCTGACGCCGTGTAAACCCAATCCAATTCCACACACTTTTGCGTCTTCATATGCACGCAGATTTCCTCCCGAAAATGCTCATTTAAACGGGGTCTTCTGCGTCTTCGGTTCAGGCCATTATCGTACAAATGTAGCCTAAGACTTGGGATGGAAAGTTCTACAGCTGTTATTTCTGGGCAGAACAGAATCAGAATGAATATTTTACCAAGATTTTAATTTCAGTCTCTTTTATATTTTCGTGCCACAGTCCAGTTGTTATCCAGATTTATTCAGCAAAATCAAAAACAAGGATCTGAGACACAGAAATGAAAGAAATATAGACATTTATTTTGAAAAAGAACTGTTGAACTGTTTGAAAAAGAAACATATGACTCACTTCATTTGTTACCTTTACATGAATACCAGTTGTCATTATGGGAATCAACATAAACATAACCTTTTTGCCATAGAAAAAACACAACAAAGACAATGATTTCAGCAAAAACAAAAACTAAAAATAGGACGCAAAAGTTCACATATCGAACTTTAAGAAGCTTTGAATAGGGAAATTTTCATGTGGGATTTTGAAACGTCTACGGCAGGGGTGCGCAATACGTCGATCCCAATCTACCAGTCGATTGCCAAGGTCATGTGGGTAGATCGTCATGTCTTAGTACTCGTCTCGGACTCGATCGCGTTTGGACTCGGTCTTGTCTCTCACTCGAGGTCTGACACTCAACAAGTGTGATCATATTTCATTACGGCCGCTGCTGTTGGTAATAAACTTGTAGCGGGTGCAGGAGCGTGTGGGGCGTCTCAGTGCAGCCTGTGCGCTCATTTGAAACCCGCGGAGACTCTACGGCGCATCACAAACACACACGCTCCCTATGCACGGCTCGTCTGCGACAGCGTGTGCCCTCGTGTACCAGCGTGCATCACAGGGCAGGTTCAACTTCCTAAACATCCTACCTGTCCATCTGCCTCACGTCAGCACGCCGCCCCTCGCCTTTTCACGCTCTCGCTCCTTCCTGCGTACAGCCAACACAAGCCCCTCCCACAGTGCGGCTGATTAGAAGAGCAAGACCAAACGTGAAGCAAAAACCAGTCTAAATTTGTGTTCCAGTGTTGGCACAAAGCAGGTCTACAGCATAGAGCGGATCTACAGAACAGACCTACTGCCACATTTGGCTGAAGTTTGTCTAACAAAAGTGATAAATGCATCTGTGTTTGTCACGATGTGCGTTTGGTTTGGTAAACGTGCAGAGGCTGGTAAATATCACTGCAAAACCAGAAAAAAATGTAACTCCAGTTTGGAACTTTAAAAAACAGGTTTAAAAATCTTCCTTCACTTTTTTCACAGTTTTGTGTAAAGTGCCAGAGGAAGTTCTCTTAAAGAAGAGGTTCTCAAACTGTGGGGGAGGGCCCAAAAAAGGGGCACAGAGTGTTTCAGTGCAGTTTGTTTGGCTTTGTATTAGGTCGATCATTTTGACTTGGTCATTTTGTAAGTCGCTCGAATGCTGAAAAAGTGTGAGCACCACTAATCTATGGAGTCCAAAGTTTGAATTTGAAACAGAGTGGAGAGCACAGCAGCAGATGAAGAACACAATGAGCAACGAAAACCGAAATTTTAGCTGAATCTAGTTGGAGATTTATTGAGTGTTGAAGTTATAGAGAGTTTTGAATCTGCTGATCTACACTTTGCTCTGACGTGTCTCCGCTGTGGACCTTCATATGTCTCACCAGACTATAAGAGTGTTTAAAATCTTTATCGCACTGGCCACGGCTGTACGGTCTTTCCCCGGTGTGGATTCTTCTATGTGACACTAGAGCGCTCGTCGTGCAAAACGCCTTCTCACACTTGTCGCAGCTGAACGGTTTTTCTCCAGTGTGGAGCCTCATGTGTTTGACGAGTAAAAAGCCTTCTCGCAGACGTCGCAGCTGTACGTTCTCTCTCCGGTGTGGACTCTCATGTGTCTTACTAAATTACCCAACATATAAAACGCCTTTTTACAGACCTCACAGACGTACGTTTTTTCTCCAGTGTGGACTCTCATATGTGATACTAAGTGGGTTGATATTCTAAATGTCTTCTCGCAGATGTCGCAGCTGAACGATCGCTCTCCGGTGTGGACTCTCATGTGTCTTACTAAATTACCCGACATATAAAACGCTTTCTCACAGACGTCGGAGCTGTACGGTTTTTCTCCCGTGTGGATTCTCATATGAGCTACTAAACGGGTCGATGTAGAAAAAGCCTTGTCACTGACGTCGCAGCTGTAGGGTCTTTCTCTGGTGTGGATTCTCATGTGTTGTCTAAGGGTGCCGGACCGTGTGAATTCCTTCCCACACTGGTCACAGGTGAAGCCCATTCTGCTGGTCGAGCTCTGCATGGAAACACAGAACAGGAGAGACATCAAATCAGTGCAAATGTCAATCAAAATATAACTCCCCCTGAACTGTGGTGGGGGAGTTTGCATACCTGAATGATCCTAGAAGTCAAAAAAGGTCAGTGTTGATATTGTGTGTTAATACTTTGAGTTTCTTTTTTACGATCTTGAATTCTGGGTGAGTGCTGCCTTTGTTACCTGAAGCATATCAGCTCAACATACAAGTCTAATTACTGAAACAGGACAGTTTAAAACAAGATCAAGTCAAGTTTTGGTGAGAAATGACTATTTTATGCTTTCTGCATTTTGTCGTCTTGTTTTCGCCTGAGTCTGTGTCGTCCAATCACCTGTTGAGTGTTTTTAAGCACGTCTGAAGCTGTACTGTATCGGTGTCTCTGGGAGCCAGTCTCCTCCAGGGTCTGATCACTCCAACGTGAGGCGACGGAAACAAGGCTTTATACTCGATATATTATTTAGCTTTAAATGGTTTGTTGTGTTTGGGTGATGTTTGAGGACAGGACACAGTCCAAACACGGCTTTAGAGTTTGGCCTGAGACGTGGGGGAGGAGGTGTGATCAGAGATTCTTTACATAACAAACACAGAGGCTCCACTCCTCCAGAGAAGTGCAAATGCCCTTAAACATTCAAAGTAGCAGGGCTGAAAATATTTGAAACACATTACTTTTGAAAGAAATAAAAAGTTTATCTCTTTCTCTTGGAGGAAAACAAAATGTGTCACTAGTTTGAGCTCAGGGGGAGTTAAACTTAAACCAACTCCAAGTGTCCAGAAAATATCCATTTTAAGTTGAATCAGTCGAAGCACCTGTGTGTACAGAAATATGTGACTTTTAAATGCTTCTATATGTCCCACCTGACTGTCAGAGTCACTGTTCTATACAGACTACACTTATTTACCACTGTGAACAAGAGAAAAGGTGTGAGAGCCCTGCTGTCTACTGATCTAACCCTGAGTCATTCACATGGATGTATCTACACTGGTGTGAGGAGTTTAGAGTCTAGAACACATCAGCTCAACTGTTTGGTATCAATAGATGTTTGAGTTTTCACAGATGCAGAGTCACACTCACAGACAGTGAAGCAGGAGAGCAGGTTAAAAGCAGCAGGAGCAGCACTTCAGTCCTGGACTCGTGTTTCAAGGTTCATTCTTTCCCAAAACTTGGTTGGCTTCTGTGTCCAGGCACTTTCTTCTTTGTCTCTGTTGTTTTTCCGCTTTCGTAGGAAGTAAAGCTCCTCCCCCAACTTCTGTGAGAAACAACCCACAGCACCAATCAGGATCCAGAGGAGGCGGGCTCTTTGGAAATGTCTCACTATTTTGAAAAAAAATATACAATTTAAGGTTAAACAATTAATTAGAATCCATTTTAAAATGTTCATTTTTCATCAGACCTCATGGCAGTCTATAATAAATAAGAAATCCATTTATTTAAATGAACATATCACATTTTGAGCCTTAATTCTCAATCAAACCTGTATAACACTTTCTCACTGTCTTTAACACAGTGATCTTTGGTTTGTGTCGTGTGGAGCAGAGTCGTGTTGCATCTCATTTTGTGTTCGTTTCTTTACTAAGTTTGTGCATTTGTAAACTCCATTACTCATTTTACTAAATGTTAATATGTTTATTCATACTATATGAATATTTAGGCCTGTTATATGAAACTTAAACAATTAAGTGGCAATTTAACACATTTCAAACTTATGTATGTTTTTCCCTCATGAAACATACATACACAAAATGCAGCTAGTTTCTTGTTTCATTTGTTAACTTTGTATGAATGTCATTTGTGATCATGGGAAACAATATGTGTTTCAGTATTAGTTTTGATATAGATTCAAGATAAACTATGATTTCATTCATTTAGATTAATATTTGTTGGCACCTTTCTAAACACCCATAGTTACCTTGGAGTAGAAACAAAAACTGATGAAAGTAGGACGCAAAAGTTCACATTTCAAACTCTAAGAAGCTTTGAATAGGTGAGTTTTCAGATGGGATGTTGAAACGTCTATGAAGTCCAAATTTCGGATTTGAAGTAGAGTGGAGAGCAGAGCAGCAGATGATGAACACAGACAGCAACGAGAACTGAAATTTTAGCTGAATCTGGTTGGAGATTTATGAAGGGCCCAAGTTATGGAGAGTTTTGAATCTGCTTATCTTCATTTTGCTCCGACGTCTCTCCACTGTGGACCTTCATATGTCTGACCAGACTATACGAGTGTTTAAAATCCTTATCGCACTGGTCACAACTGTACGGTCTTTCCCCGGTGGATTTTCATATGCGACACTAGGGCGCTCGTTGTAAAAAACCCCTTCTCGCAGACGTTGCAGCTGTACGGTCTTTCTCCAGTGTGGACTCTCATGTGTCTTACTAAAGCGCCTGATAAATAAAACGCTTTCTCGCAGACGTCGCAGCTGAACGGTTTTTCCCCGGTGTGGATTCTCATATGCGATGTGAGGTCAGATGACGTAAAAAATGCCTTTTCGCAGACTTCACAGTGGAATTCTCCTTTTCCAGAGTGGATCTTTTTGTGTTTAACAAGAGCGCACGACGTAAAAAAAGCGTTCTCGCAGACGTCACAGGTGAACGATTTCTTCCCACTGTGGACTGTCATGTGCGCGGTTAGTTTACTAGACTGTTTAAACGTCTTCCCACACTCGTCACACGCGTACAGCTTTTCTCCCGCGTGAACTCTCATATGCGACACGAGGTGGCCCGATATCGCAAACGTCTTCTCGCAGACGTCGCAGCTGTACGGTTTTTCTCCGGTGTGGATCCTGGTGTGGTCTTTGAGATGCGATTGTCGACAGAAACTCTTCCCACACTGGTCGCATTCGTACGGTCTCTCTCCAGTGTGGACTCTCAGATGCGACGCGAGGTTATTCGACCGGGTAAACGTCTTCTCGCAAAGTTCACAGCTGTACGGTCTTTCACCAGTGTGGAGCCTCGTGTGTTTTACTAAGGAGCTTGATCGAGAAAACGCCTTCCCACAGACCTCGCAGCTGAACGGTTTTTCTCCCGTGTGGACTCTCCGATGTGATACGAGGTTGCTGGACGTAAAAAACGCCTTCTCGCAGACGTCGCATTTGTACGGTCTTTCTCCGGTGTGGATTCTCCTGTGTGAGACTAAGGCGCTTGACGTAAAAAACGCCTTCTCACAGAGATCGCAGCTGAACGGTCTTTCTCCGGTGTGGGCCCTCATGTGTCTCACGAGGTTACCTGACATATAAAACGCTTTCTCACAGAGATCGCATTTGTACGGCCTTTCCCCGGTGTGGACTCTCCCATGCGACAATAGATCGGTCGACGTATAAAACGCCTTCTCGCAGACGTCGCACCTGTACGGTCTCTCTCCGGTGTGGACTCTCATATGTCGTACGAGATTACCCGACATATAAAAGGCCTTGTCACAGACCTCGCAGACGTACGGTTTTTCCCCGGTGTGCAGTCTCATATGTGCAACGAGGTGGCTTGATATCGTAAACGTTTTCTCGCAGACGTCGCAGCTGAACGGTCGCTGTCCAGTGTGGAGTCTCATGTGTCTTACGAGGTTACTCGACACGTGAAATGTCTTCTCACAGACATTACAGACGTACGGTTTTTCCCCGTTGTGGACTCTCATGTGAGACACTAGACGGCTCGATGTGCAAAACGCCTTCTCGCAGACGTCGCAGCTGTACGGTTTTTCTCCCGTGTGGAGCCTCATGTGTGACACGAGGTGGCTTGAGATCTTGAAGCTCTTCTCGCAGACGTCGCAGCTGTACGGTCTTTCTCCGGTGTGGATTCTCTTATGTATTACGAGGGAGCTCGATCTAGGAAATGCCATCTCACAGACGTCACAGCTGTACGGTCTTTGTACAGTGTGGATTTTCATATGTTCTTCAAGGGCGTCAGACTGTGTGAATTCCTTCCCACACTGGTCACAAGTGAAGCCCATTCTGCTGGTCGAGCTCTGCATGACAACACAGAAAAGGAGAGACATAAAATCAATACAAATGTCAATAAAAATTACTTTTTCAATAGCGAGGAGAAAATTTTGTTTGTCAATTGGACAAAATTTTGTTTGGTTGAAGACTTTTGCTTCTTCAGTTCTGTCAGTTCTGTTCAGTTCAGTCCAGAAATGAAGAAGCAGCTTGGATGAGCTGCGAAACGTCTTCAACCAAACAAAATTTTGTCCAGTTGACAAACTGAATTTTCTCCTCCCCATGGATTCTACCTGGACCACTGACGGATTCTTCACACATACTTTTTCCAATAGTAAATATAACTCCCCCCTGAACTGTGGGGGATTTTGTGTGCCCTAATGATCCTAGGAGCTAAGTAGCCTGAGGTATCATGGCCCTGGTCTATCAAACAAGCAAACAGGTCCTCGGTGACGGGTCGGACTAAGAGAAGTTCTATTATCTACGTCACTTAATTTCGTCACTATGCATGTACTGTATTTTTCGGACTATAAGTTGCACTTTTTTTCCATGGTTTCGGTGTTTCCTGCAATTTATACTCCGCTGTGACTTCTATATTAAAATTTTCAGACTGACTGCTGTGAGAGGCTCTAGGTTTGTGTGTCAGCGTCTGGTACGAATATTGCTCCTGTACCACTGTCACTTCACTGTCTACTGCGAATGTCTCCTGTACAAAAAGCTGCTGTCTTGCTGCAAATAGTGAAATTTGCAGCCGAAAACGGTAATCGAGCAGCAGAAATAAAGTTTGGAGTGAGCGAGAAACTTGTGGGGGACTGGTGGAAAGCGGGGATGGAGAACACAACTTCACAGGAACCATGCGGGTGCAACATGAAACTTTCCTGAAGTCACTGGACGGATGGACAAAGCCTGGACTTCAGTGACACCGAAATCATCCTGTCGGGATTCAGAAAGACCTGAATAATTCTAACTGGAACTGATGCTGAGTCTGACGACAGCGACACAGAAGAGGAAGCGGCGCTCTGTTTACATCATGGATCTGTGGGTTTATCTCCAGAGGTCGCGCAGAAGTGACACCGAGGATGAAGAATTTATGGATTTAGTGATTTGGAGTGAGATCGTGAGTTTGGTAAACTTGTTCTGTTCTGTTGTTTATGCTATAATTATCTGAAGAACTGTTCATATGTTACGTGAACATATTAACGCCTGTTCAGTCTGTTGTTCTTTATTCTATTGTTATTACTAGAACTTGCCTTTCAAGATGAAATGTCGGTTCCTGGTCTCTGATTTTATAAAATACATTTCCCCAAAAAGTGCGACTTGTATGTTTTTTTCTTCTTCATTGCGCATTTTTTGGCTGATGCGACTTATACTCCGGAACGTCTTACAGTACGGAATACACGGTCCCGTAAAGTGAGTGCCAGTTGTGGTACCTGGTTCCTGACGTTACTGAGAGACTGGCATTAAAAGCTTCTTATAAAATAATCAGTCCACAAATCTCCGAAATATAACACACAACACTTTTATGAACTGTATAAAATCGAGGACTATGACGTCGCCCGGTATGACGCAGCCACGGCCCCCAGCCTGGAGCCAGACCTGGAGTTGGGACTCGAGCATCAGAAAGACATTTATGTAGTTCTGATTCACGCTTTTGCAACAAATTCAGTCTAAGGATTATAGTGCCTTGTCCTTATAGTTAGTGTACGTTTTTAATTAGGGACAAGCATTTAATGCTCAAAAAGGTCAGTGTTGATATTACGTGTCAGTACTTCCTATTTGAGTTTCTTTTATGATCTTGAATTTTGGGTGAGTGGAAAGCTTTTCTCTCTTTCTCTTGTGCATTTAGTTGTGGAGGAAAAAAGTAAATGTGTCACTAGTTTGAGCTCAGGGGAAGTTAAACTTAAACCAACTCCAAGTGTCCAGAAAATATCCATTTTAAGTTGAATCAGTCAAAGCACTTGTGTGTATCCACTTGTGTGTACAGAAATATGTGTGACTTTTAAATGCTTCTATATGTCCCACCTGACTGTCAGAGTCACTGTTCTATACAGACTACACTTATTTACCACTGTGAACAAGAGAAAAGGTTTGAGAGCCCTGCTGTCTACTGATCTAACCCTGAGTCATTTCACATGGATGTATCTACACTGGTGTGAGGAGTTTAGAGTCTAGCATGTTAGCTCGACTGTTTGGTATCAAAAGATGTTTGATTTTTCAGAGATGCAGAGTCACACTCACAGACAGTGAAGCAGGAGAGCAGGTTAAAAGCAGCAGGAGCAGCACTTCAGCCCTGGACTCGTGTTTCAAGGTTCATTCTTCATTCTTTTCCAGGCACTTGCTTCTTTGTCCCTGCTGTTTTTCCGCTTCCGTAGGCAGTAAAGCTCCTCCCCCGACTTCTGTGAGAAACAACCCACAGCACCAATCAGGATCCAGAGGAGGCGGGCTCTTTGGAACGTTATCTCCTTTTTATTTAAAAAAAAAAAATATATATATACAATTTAAGGTTAAACAAATCATTGTAAAATGTAAATTTTTCATCAGACCTCATGACAGTCTATAATAAAACCTAAAGAAATCAATTTATTTAAATAAACATATCACATTTTGAGCTTTAATTCTCATATCAAACCTTTATAACACTTTTTCACTGTCTTTAACAAAATGATCTATTTTAAACACAAATTGTAACTATAACTTGAGTCTTTCCACCTAAAAACTTCACACTTATTAAAGTCCATGACAACAGAACATTCAGGAATCACAATATGAAGATATTGTTTAATATATCTAGTATTTTGTACCTTGTTAAGATAAATTTGTGCAGCTGAAGGTGCATTAGTGACTATATTAGATGTGGTTGTGGTTGAGGAAAAAATAATACATATATAAAAGGGGAAATGGACACGAGACAATTTAATGTCAAGAAAAATCAATACATTTTTGTTTGAGTGTTTTCTTCTTTCTCTGCACAGTGCTCACAGAAGATACTGTATGTGGAGATTTCTTTTTTTTAGATATGTAGATATTTTAGATATTTGACTTTCAAGTAAAGTTAAATATTTAAGGGGGAAATCCACGTACACAGTTTCGTTGTAAACAAAAGTTGACTAAGTGTTTGTACACTGATTTATGCAAATCATAGTTTATCATAGAAGATGAAAGGTATAAAACAGCATCTTAAAACAAATCTTAACACAAATTAATTCTAAGCACTTTATTCATAATCACAGAGCTGTCTCTGGTGTGTATGTTTACATCTGTATCATTTGTCTCTTCTGGATATTCACAGTGACATGAAATCTCCCAAAAACCTTATTCAAACAATCATTTATAAAGTTTCTCTTGGCTGTTGTCAATAGAGGTGTTAGTTTTTATTCTACTGCAGAGGCCCACCTTACGTCAAACGTCGAACACCGTCACGGTAAAAACTAATTCCATCACAAAAAGAACACACCAAAGACAATTATTCCATTAATGGAGTACTTTTTATTTGTTGCCACTTTTCTAAACATCACTGGTCATTTTACAGTAAAAGCAAAACATGATGGAAATATCAAATTGCAGTTTTGAACAGGTTCAAGTAGGATTTTAAAATGTCTATAGAGACTGAAGTTCAGATTTGAAGAAGTGTGAGTCGTGAACGCGGCAGCAGATGAAGAACACAATGAGTAGAACAGAGATTATAGCCGAGTCTGGTTGGAGATTATGAAAGGGCCACGTTATAGAAAACTTTGAAGGTCATCGTAAGGAGTTTGAGGCTCTGTTTACACGTACACGGGTATTTTTAAAAACAGACATTTCCCTTTGTTTGTTCCATCTTTTACACACAAAAGGCAAATTCACTTCTGAAAATGAATCTTTCTAAAAACTCTGGCTTGAGCGGAGATTCTGGAAAAAGATGGATTCTCGTTTATGTGTAAAGTGAGATAAATGGAGTTTTAAGCAGCTGATGCACCAAAAGTCCATGTTTCCCTTTTGCTCTGATGATGATGATGAAGCATTCAGAGCAGCAGTCACATTTCTTCTGGTGCAAACACTTTTCATGTGTCTCCAGATCTGTGGAGAGGCGAGCTCGCTCAGTAATGCACGTTTTTCGAGATATTTGCGAGTAAAACTTAAAACTGTAATGAAATAAATGCTACAGGTTTGAATGTAATCCAGGCGCCGCCCAGAGGCTCGGTGTAGTTATGATCGAGCTCGATGACATATTCATGTGGGTCGATGTAAAACGTTTAAAAACGATGCTATGTGCACGGAGGCTCGCGCCACCTGTTGCCTCCACATTTAATTTGTCTCCAGTGACTAGGTCAGGAATCAAAATATACTAGAGCAGGAGTCTCCAACCTTTTTCCTTGGGTGAGCTACCTGGACAAAAATGAAAATTCCAGAGAGCTACTAACTTTAGCGGTCTCAAGAAATAGAGTACACATAAGAGCCATGGGAAGACTTAGATCAGGTACAATTAGATAAAACATGAAACATAAACCTTTATTATTTGTGAGTGCACATAGTCAGGCACCAAAATGATAGTTATAATAATAAGGGGCATTTAATCAATCAAATCTGAGTTATTCAGGACAATATGTGTAATTCAGAAATCCCCTGGCGAGCTCCTTGGAAGGGGGTGGAGAGCTGCAGGAAGCTCCCGAGCTACAGGTTGGAGACGCCTGCACTTAGACGATTTTTGCAAGAACCCTGGAAGTTGTAGACGGCGCATCGGCCAATCAGCTGTGAGCTGTGAAGTCATGACGTCAAACTCGTCACGTCTGTCTGTGTCCCTTTTGTGTTTCAGCACAACAGTAAACAAAGCGTCGAGATGGATGTAGACGAAGACAGACATTCTGTGTCGGCAAAGATTCCCCAGATGGAGGGTTTAAAGTCAGAACAAAGAGAATGTTCGGTGAATTTTATCAAGAGGAAAGACGTTATTGTCCTTCTTCCTATGGGATTTGGTGCATTACATAGGTCACGACCAAATAGCAGCGATTGGCAAAATAAAAAAAGTACCCGCCTACTGTGGAGGCCTCAAATTCCGTATAATGATTCTAATGTGCACAATGTTATTTTGGAAAATGGGGGGAGGAAAATATTCATTTTTCTTCATACCCAGCGATGTGTAAATTTATTCTGAATTGATTTGCTGGACCAGGAGCCAATTTCCTTTCCACAGTGGTCACATTCCTATGACTTTTTCCCTCTGTGAACCCTCATATGTTTGGCTAGACTATAAGCATGTTTAAAGTCTTTATCACACTGGCTGCAACTGAACGGCCTTTCTCCTGTGTGAACTCTCATATGTGCCGATAAAGCGTCTGCCGTGAAAAATGCCTTCTTGCAGACGTCACAGCTGTGTGGTTTTTCTCCCGTGTGTATTCTCATGTGTTTTACTAAGTTGCCTGTGGTGAAAAACGCCTTCTCGCAGACGTCGCACTTGTACGGCCTCTCTCCGGTGTGGATTCTCATATGCACCACGAGGTAACTTGATTTATAAAACGCCTTATCGCAGAAGTCGCAGCTGAACGGTCTTTCTCCAGTGTGGATAATCACGTGTTTTGCGAGGGAGTCCGACGTATAAAACGCCTTATCGCAGAGCTCGCAGCTGTAAGGCCTTTCCCCCGTGTGGACTCGCTTATGCGCTACGAGGGCGCCTGAAGTAAAAAAGCCCTTCTCGCAGACATCGCAGCCGAAGGGTCTTACGTCGTTGTGGAGCCTCATATGCTTCACGAGGCAGTCTGACGTAGTAAACGCCTTTTCGCAGACTTCGCAGCTGTACGGCCTTTCTCCAGTGTGGACTCTCTTGTGGATTACTAGGGCTTTCGGCGAAAAAAACGCCTTCTTGCAGCCGTCGCAGCCGTACGGTCTTTTCCCATCGTGGAGTCTTTTGTGTTTTGTAAGAGAGTCTGACGTGAAAAACGCCTTCTCGCAGACGTCACAGCGGTAAGGTCTTTCTCCGGTGTGGAACCTCATGTGTATCGTTAGTTTACTTAAGTGTTTAAAAGTCTTCCCACACTGGTCACACGCCAATGTTTTTTTTTCGCCCGTGTGGCTTCGCATGTGAAATTTTAGGTCGCTTGATGTCGAAAACGCCTTCTCACAGACGTCGCAGCTGTATGTTTTTTCTCTGGTGTGGATTCTGGTGTGGTATTTGAGATGCGATGATCGGCCAAAACTCTTCCCGCACTGGTCACATTCATACGGTTTTTCCCCCGTGTGGATTCTCATGTGCATCGCCAACGAGCTCGACGAGGAATAAACCTTCTTACAGATGTCGCAAGTGTACGGTGTCTCTCCCGTGTGGATTCTCATGTGTGCCACCAACGAGTTTGACCTGGAAAACGCCTTCCCGCAGACGTCGCAGTCGAACGGTTTCTCGTCCGTGTGGGTCCTCATGTGCATTATCAAAGAGCTCGACCTCGAGTACGCCTTCTCGCAGACGTCGCAGCTGAACGGTTTCTCTTTCGTGTGCGTCCTCATGTGCGTTACCAGGGTGCCTGACTTCCTGAACGCCTTTTTGCAGACCTCGCACGTGTACGGTTTTTCGCCGGTGTGGATTCTCATGTGCGTTACCAGGTCGCTCGATCTCGGGAACGCCATCTCGCAGGACTCGCAGGCGAACGGTCTTTCTTTCGTGTGCCTTATCATGTGCGATACTAGGGAGCTCGACGTCGCGAATGTCTTCTGGCAGAAATCACAGGCGTACGGTTTTTCCCCGCTGTGGAGTCTCCTGTGGATCGCGAGGGTGTCCGACGTATAAAAAGCTTTCTCGCAGACGTCGCAAGTGTACGGCCTCTTCCCGCTGTGGACTCTCATGTGTATGGCGAGCTTATTTGACTGTTTATATTTCTTCCCGCACTGGTCACACATGTATGGTTTTTCTCCCGTGTGGACTCTCTTGTGTAAAACCAAGTGGCTCGACGTCGTAAACGCCTTCTCGCAGACCTCGCAGCTGTACGGTTTTTCTCCGGTGTGGATCCTGACGTGGTCTTTGAGGTGCGAAGACGAAGCGAAACCCTTCCCACACTGGTCACACCCGTACGGTCTTTCTCCGGTGTGGATTCTCATGTGTCTCGTAAGATTACTCGAGCATTTAAACTCCTTTCCACACAGGTCACAACTGAACATCTTTTCTGCATTGTGGATTTTTTTATGCGTCACTAGATCTTTAGACGCTGAAAAACTCTTGCCGCACTCATCGCAATCATGCGGTTCAGCGTGGATTTTCATGTGTCGGTTAAGAGCGTAAGACTTTGCAAATTCCTTCCCGCACTCGTCACATTTGAGTGGTTCTTCTCCATTGGGGACTTTCGTACGTTCTTTTGGGTTTTCTAACTCGTTTGATCGCTGGGGATCCTCGGTGTGGGCTGTTTTGTGGTGTCTTCTGAGACCTGAAGCATGGGGCCACGTCTTCCCACACTGCTCACAGGTGAACGTCATTCTGAGGAGCTCTGCAAAGAAACACAGAAACAAGAGATATAAAGTCAATACAAATGTCTATAAAAATAACTTTCTTTTCTGGGTCACCAAACTTTTTTCCTCTAGGGGCCACATTATCGCTCCTGACTGTGATGGAGGCCGAGATCGAGAAGCCAGTCTGCCTTTCATCCGCCGAATTCTAATCTTTTTTCGTTTGCCCTTGCAAGCGAGCATATTCTTTTATAGAGACGACGCAGATTATAATATTCTTGGAAAACCGTCACACTTCCTTCTTAACATATCAGACAAACTGTCCGGTCCTCACACTGAACAATAAAATAATCAGTCGTCCACTGTTCTTTGACAACTCCGGACTCTGTCAACTTTTTGTACTTTAACACGAACCATTTTACTGTTCTTATCTACACTACTGAACTTTGTACGTGCGTTGACTCTCATTGTTTGATTTTGAGGTTGTCAGGTCACGAAAATTCAGTGGCAAATTCAGCAGCAAATATAAATACATCATATAATTACTAATTAGTATTTTCCGGGCTATTAGACACGCTCTTAAGCCTCTAACCCCATCAAAAAACGACTGTGCACCACAATCCAGGGCGCCCCATACACGAATCCACTCAGGTGTCCCAGCACGACTTCAGTAAACTACAAACACACAAACACACACGGAGCCAAAAACACGCAGACACCACGGCGACGAGGAACGGAACGGAGGAACGAACCGAAAAAGCGAGCGCAACGTGTCGCTTCTAGACACGACTGAACAACTGAGTCACTGCGAACACGCCGACAACCCGTTGGTCCCAGACAGCCCCTCCCTACACGCCACAACTGAACAAAGCCCAGAGTCACCGTGAACGAACAAACAAACAAAACCACTCACCCATCACACTGTTGGGTTTCCTTTAAAGTCCCACGCGGTTTATTTGTGAAAAAAGTTCAAAAATAGACCATTTAATGACACCTTATAATCCAGAGCGACTAATAGCCCGCAAAATACGGTATTTAAATATAAAACCTTTGTATAAATATCATTTTTTATTGATAAAAATCTACAAAATACAAGATGCAGACGTGTTTTTATTTGCCAAAAAGTAATAAAAAAAAATAGGCCATAACTTTTGAGGATTGCCTCAAAGGGTCAGTTCAAGTGATGGGGGCAGAGGGGCTAGTTTGATGACCCCTGCATTAGTTCATCACATCATAATCTAGTTTAAGATTTTTTTTTTTAAAGAAATGAGTAAGCTAATTAGGGGTGTGCAAAAATATTGAAATAGCAATATATCGTATCGTTTAATATGATGATACAGTATCGATATCGTGGGCTGCTGTATCGATATGTCGCCAAGAGTATTTTTTGGTATATTTTACAAAATTATTTTGTTACAGCTACAGTTTTGTTGCTTGTTCAGAGGAAGGAAACTCGTTTGTGCAACACATTTGACATTTTTTGATGCGTAAAATGGGTGTTTTTCATTTTAACTTTGCACAATAATTATTCTATCTGTTTTAAGTCTGTAAAACCTCAGCACAAACTTTATACACTTTTCTCCGACAGGATCGACAGGTGCAACACTTTTTACTTCCTTCTTGAAACTTATTGCTGTTGTCGTCCTTTTGTTATTTTCCTCCTTCTTTATGTAACAAACTGAAGATTCATTTATTCCATAATGGAGCCGACAGGGCAGAGTCCAGTACAGGACCGCACCCGCCAGTACAGGACCGCACCTGCCAGGACAGGACCGCACCCGCCAGGACAGGACCGCACCCGCCAGTACAGGACCGCACCCGCCAGGACAGGACCGCACCTGCCGGTTAACCAGAGATTATATCAAACTTTTGCACTGCCTACGCCACGGACTGAACCAAGACTAAACCAGAACTAAACCCAGGACTATTCCAGGACTGAAGAGGAGGACTAATCACGACTGAACCAGGACTAAACCAGGACTAAAACCAGGACTAAACACCAGGACTAAACCAGGACTAAACCAGGACTAAACCAGGACTAAACCCAGGACTGATTCCAGGACTGAAGAGGAGGACTAATCCACGACTGAAGTAGGACTAAAAACTAAACAGGACTAAACCAGGACTGAAACAGGACTGAAACAGGACTGAAACTAAACAGGACTAGGACTGAAACAGGACTGAAACAGGACTGAAACAGGACTGAAACAGGACTAAACCAGGACTGAAACAGGACTGAGGACTAAATAAACCAGGACTGAAAACAGGACTGAAACAGGACTGAAACAGGACTGAAACAGGACTGAAACAGGACTGAAACAGGACTGAAACAGGACTGAGGACTGGAAAACTGAAACAGGACAGGACTGACTGAATGAAACAGGACAGGACTGAAACAGGACTGAAACAGGACTGAAACAGGACTGAAACAGGACTGTGGGGTCGGGCTCGGAGGTGACCACAGGAGAAAGGACCGGCTCAGCTCCGCACCTCACGGAGTTAAACGCGGCAATTCCCCGATCGCGCTTTGCGGACAAACTGCTCGGCGTTTTCTCTTAAATCCAAGATTGGTCCTGGTTTAGACCTGGTTTAGTCCTGACTCACCCGCCTGTAATACACAATACCCGTTGTATTGTGTATTACAACGCGCCTCCGGGTTTTCACAAATGGAAATGCAGTCACCCTATCGTATCGGCAACTTCTTAATGACCTGTTCTTTACATAACAAATGCAGAGAGCTCCCCTCCCCCTCCAGAGAAATGCACTCTCTCTCTCATCCCTCAGACATTAAAACTGACAGCAGAAATGTCGAAAACACTAAACAAAAGGTGTTTATGAGCGACTCTCCTGTTATATCCTGATCTAAGCCTTCAGAGTCATTTCACATGGATGGATCTACACTGGTGTGAGGAGTTCAGAGTCTGGCACACGTTAACTCGACTGTTTGGTGTCAGTAGATGTTTGATTTTCCAGAGACGCAGAGTCGCACTCACGGACGGTGAAGCGGGAGAGCAGGTTAAAAGCAGCAGCAGCAGCAGCAGGAGCGGCAGAACTTCAGCCCCGGAGTCGTGTCCCAACGTTCATTCTTCTGTCAAAACTCTGCTTCCCTGTCCAGGCACTTCCTCCTTTGTCCCTGTCGTGTTTCCACTTCCCCCCGTGAGAGAGACAGACACACACAGCAGCCAATCACGAGCCACAGGAGGCGGGCTCTTTGGAAAACTGTCACTTTTTATTATTTACTGAACAATTTTGAGGTTATTTTTGACATTTTTCGATGTTAATCAAACCTTATTATTAAAGGTTTATCATAAAAGTCTAATCAAATTAATTTAGTCACAGTGTTTAATCAGTTTGACATTAACGTTTCTAAATTTCAGCACAAATTCCTAAACTTCCGTCTCCACTCATATTGGCACAACAACACTTATATCACATTTTACAGCTAAAATCTGATAAACAGAACTTATTTCGAATAATTATTTTTATGTATTACGTTTTAAAAAGCATAAAAACAACTATCTGGTATTAATCATTATTCAGAAGTAGATTCTTTTTTCATATTTAATACGCAGAGACAGAAATTTACACTTAAACAAATCTTCTCGGGTGTTTAAACGGTCGTGTTGCACAAGAGCAGCAGCGTGAATAACATTTATGATTCTTATCTTTATGGAAAGTTCACTTCTTGTTGTTACAGTTGTTTCTTCATTATTTGTCTCCAAAGCCAAATCAGGAAAAAGTGTCATGTCCAGATAAAACCTGACAGCAGAGGTAGTTAAATCAGTTCTGTCTGCTGCCTTTTATGATTTTTGGATTGTAAATAAAGTTTAGGATTTGAAGTTTTCTCAAACAAGACTTTTTTCTTGTGTTTTTAACAGGACCTTCACGTGGAGAAGGGAAATACAGGGGAACTCCTCCATGGAAGAGAGTGATGTCATTCAAACAATAACTAAAGCCTATAAAGATGGTAATGTTAGAGTCATTTCAGCGTTATATAAAGTAAAAACGATAAGAACACAACTCTAACAGTGAAGGGGAATTGGGAAAAAGAATTAAACATAAAAATTGAAGATAAAGATTGGTTAAACATGTGGCGGCATCACCACACCACCACCTGCTCTCGAACATGGAGGGAGTTTGTCTGGAAGAACCTGATTCGAGTCTTTATTACACCTAAATTAAATAATATTCAATAAACAAGCATAACAGTAAAAGTATAAAATCTGACCGTATCCGACCGACTCTGATCCCAAAAGTGTCCGGATCAGAAAACTCATGTCATATAAACCCCAAAAATAACAATAAGTTCAAATATTTGTGCAGAGAAACACAAATCTATTACAGAAATCTTTTTTTAATTGATGAACTTTTTCTTTTACAAAATATTATAATATTATGAACAACCTGAAACACAATTTCAACACAAAGTTTTAACATGAACTTGTATGTAAACAGGAATAAGTCCATTTCTGTTGTAAAATCCTGCACTCGGCTCCACTTTTCTCATGTTGGACATTTTTCTGATGAGGGTGTCACGGTCAACAGTCAAAACGATCGTCCTTTAAGAGCGTTTGGAAAGAGACAAGTCTTCATTTGTGCTGCTCTGGTGGGAGGGGCCACGTACAGAGACGCTGGAGACGCTGCTGTGATAAACACCACAGAAAATTAACAAGATTTTAATAGAAAATATAATTCAAATTAGGGATGGGCATGATTAGTCGATTAATCGATAATTGATCATTAAGAATTTCATCGATTACGTTAATTTTAATCGACAAACCGAATGTATGTTGCTGTGTGTATCGTGACCAAACAGGTGTGTACATGTGTCTCTGCATCAGAAGGAGCGAGACACAAACAGTGGGTCAGTCTGTAACGAACCGAAGCACAAATGTGGATTTAACCAGGATTTGTACAAGAAATTCCACACTTTCCGTTGCGTTGGGACAAGTGTGAGTCCATGTGCACAGTGGATAAAGCAGCACATATGTTTCTGTGTCCAGTGGGAAAAAGTTTTGCCAGGTGAGAGTCGCTCAATGTGGATGACGAGGCCCCGCCCCCCTCCCCCCGTACGCTGTCCTGGTTTTGACAAACACAAATCTGGTCACACTGACCTGTATTCACCTGAGTCATGTCTTTTAATCCAACACAAGTTGAACCACATCAGCGACACAAGAGCTGGAGTTTTATCTTCACTTAGTTTATGTAAATTTGTGATGTGGTTTTAAGTTTTGTTTCTGTGAGATTTGAACAAAACTGAATTAAACACATTATAATGTCAAACAGCTGATGTGGATCTAGAGTCGTTATGTTTATATGTCGTAAAGTTCAATTTATTTATGCAGATTAGTGCAGATAGTAATAATAATGATGATCAATTTTAATATAAAAATGATCATGATTTATCGATAATCGATCGTTAATTCTTCCAACGATCGATTAAGAAAATTTCATCGAATGCCCGTCCCTATTATGAACAACCTGAAACTTTAAGAAAAATACAATTTCAACACAATGTTTTAACATGAACTTGTTTGTAAACAGGAATAAGTCAATTTTTGTTGTAAAATCCTGCACTTGGCTCCACTTTTCTCATGTGTTGGACATTTTTCTGATGAGGGTCACGGTCAACAGTCAAAACGATCGTCCTTTAAGAGCGTTTGGAAAGAGACAAGTCTTCATTTGTGCTGCTCTGGTGGGAGGGGCCACGTACAGAGACGCTGGAGACGCTGCTGTGATGAACACCACAGAAAATTAACAAGATTTTAATAGAAAATATGATTAAAATATTTTAGTAGAAAATCCGACGAGGGCCAGATTAAAGACCCTGGGCCGTACGTTTGACACCCCTGGTCTAGTGTTTTCTGATTAATACCAAATCACTGCCTGGTCTCAAATAAAAGCCTGGTCTGTTAAGTGAAACAAATAAACGCCCTGGATATTATTTAGTATTTTACGGTTCATGTATCGATTAATTAACCAAATAATCTTAACATCTTAGTCCCGTAGCCTCGTTCAGGTCTTCATCTCTCTCAGACTGAACGTGTGTCGGCTCAGATCCTCCGGTCGTGGCTTGAGCCCGAGCAGCACCAGCCTCTGCAGGGCCCGGGCGTCCCGCAGTGCGTCGTGGGCCGTGTAGTCCTCTCCCAGCAGCCGCCTCACCAGCGCCTCCTGCCTGTAGCTGCCGACGCCGCCGCGGTCGCGCAGCAGGTCCCGGGACAGAGCCAGGGTGTCCACGGCCCCGTCCAGAGCGTCCTCCAGCGCCCCCCGCAGCCCACGGCCCTCCAGCGCACGCAGCAGCACCGGCACGTCGAAGGACCGCGCGTTGTGTCCCACCAGGAGGGGGCGCCGCGGGGGCCTCGCACACTGCAGCGCACACACACACACACACACACACACACACACACTCACGCGCGCACGCACACACAGACACACACACACACACACATGGCAGAGAGGGAAAAAAATGAAAGGAACAAATATTATAATTTAGATTCCAGGGTTTAAAATGTGTTGTTCAGACATTTCCCTGGCAATGGTGGGATTTGGTTTAGTCCTGGTTTAGTTCTGGTTTAGACCTGGTTTAGTCCTGGTTCAGTCCTGGGTCAGTCCACAATTTAGACCTGGTTTAGACCTGGTTCAGTCCACAATTTAGACCTGGTTTAGTCCTGGTTCAGTCCTGTTTAGTCCTGGTTCAGTCCTGGTTTAGTCCTGGTTCAGACCTGGTTTAGTTAGTCCTGGTTCAGTCCTGGTTTAGACCTGGTTTAGACTTGGTTCAGACCTGGTTCAGTCCTGGTTTAGACCTGGTTCCAGTCCTGGTTTAGTCCTCGGTTTAGACCTGGTTTAGACCTGGTTTCAGTCCTGGTTTAGACCTGGTTCAGTCCTCGGTTTAATCCTCGGTTTAGACCTGGTTTAGACCTGGTTCAGTCCACTGTTTAGACCTAGTTTAGACCCGGTTTAGTCCCTGGTTTAGACCTGGTTTAGACCTGGTTTAGTCCTGGTTCAGACCTGGTTCAGTTTAGACCTGGTTTATTTAGACCTGGTTTAGTCCTGGTTCAGACCTGGTTCAGTCCTGATTTAGACCTGGTTTAGTCCTGGTTTAGTCCTGGTTCCCTGGTTTAGACCTGGTTCAGTCCTGGTTCAGTCCTGGTTTAGACCTGGTTTAGACCTGGTTTAGTCCTGGTTCAGTTTGTCCTGTTCAGTCCTGGTTCAGTCCTGGTTTAGTCCTGGTTTAGACCTGTGTTCAGTCCTGGTTTAGACCTGTGCAAAAGTTGTTTTACATTTTAAACACAGTCATATTGTAATGTAACAAATTACTTTGAAATGACAGTAAAAAGTCACAAATAAACGATTACAGTTTAGAAGTAACAGTTTCCCTATAACCTACAAAAGAAAATACGACACAAGACTGAGTGTTTTTACTGTGAGGGGCTCGCCTCTCCACAAACCTGACTCTGATTTGGCCTGGACAAAAGCCTCGTCCTGCTGGTTTCCATGGAAATTTCTTTGACACTGATCTTCTACTTAACTTTCTCTACAGAGGAGGTTCCTGAGTATCTTTAACTTTCTACTTCCATGGAAACTGTAAAATGTATCTTAAAACTTAAGGAGATTATAGAGAAAAAATAAATCAGTTTTTCCCTGAGCTCAGGTGGTGTAGACGGTTTGTCCACTGATCTGCAGGTTGGTGGTTCGAATATCACACTTTACATAAACACAGACCCACAGGTTGGTTGGTGTGATTCCAGCTCCCACAGACGAATGCTGTCGTTGTGTCCTTGGGCAAGACACTTAACCCACCTCGTCCCCAGTGTCTGCGTGCACTGTGTGTGTGTGTGTGTGTGTGTGTGTGAATGGGTGACGCCTCGAGAGTCTTAAAGGTGGAAAAGTGCTGTATAAAAATGGGACCATTTACCATTATGTAATGTATTACACTTATGAACAATTTAAAAGGAATAAACGAACTAATTAATAAAATGTATTAAACCCTCACACTCTCCTCGGGGTCACATTGACCTGATTTTTTTTTCCTTCCCGCTCTCTTTGGGGCGGGTCATTCAGACCCAAAAATGTATTTTCCCGTCTGGCGAAAATTTATTTGAAAATAAATGTTTGGGTCTGATTGACCCGCCCACAGAGAGC